GCAAACAAGACAATATTATTGGAAAATTAAGCCCTTAGTTAACATTGAAATATTTTTATTATTGTCTCTTTTGTGGGTTCTGGAGAAGAATTTTTTTAATAAGATTGTAAATTATATGTTAGGTTTTTTTCTAATCTAATTGCAAATAAGACCAACCTTAGGTTGATGTTAAATAGGAGTCTTGTTGACCTTACACTTTCAATAGCAAGAACGTTGTTTAATTTCAATTTGGTCAATTCATCTTCTATCAATGTAAACTAATATTATAGAAACAATACAATTGACTTATGTAATATTGACACAACATAAAAATATATATATTTTTAAAATATAAAAAATAAATAAAAATATCATTGATGGAGTTTTTATAGTGCAAAATAAAATAACATTAAATATTAATATTTGATAAAATCCATTTTCAATCACTCTTAATGACTATAAAACTTCTTAAAAAATATTTAAGATCAAATTTTGGATCTCAATAAGTTAGATACTTCAAAAATATGATTTTTTAAAAAAATTCTCAGATAATGCATAATCTTCCTTTATTCTCTCACTTGTAAAAAGATATTAGCCATTTCACCAACATTTAGCTTTAGAAAAAATCAAGATTTCTATCTAGATATTTTTATTATTCTACTTTAATTAATATTAAGTATTTATTTATTATATGTATTTTTTATAAATAAAAAGATTAAATTTAAACTAAACATATTAAAATATTCTTTAAAAATGATAAAATGATTAAATTTTGTAATAGATATGCTTAAGGTCTTAAACTAGCATTCTAATTAATTACAAGTTTTAATTACCAATTATTAGGTGAATAATTAGTTAAAATTAAATATATTTTTTTCTATTAGAGCATATTTAAAAAATATATATATAGTCATAAATAAAAAATTATCAAACCAAAATATTTAAACAACTACTTTTGTTGAAACTCAATTTTTCTTAAATGTAAAATAAGATGTTAGAGTACTTCATATATATCTACATATCCATATATATAATTTGAAATTATATTCAAATAGATTTTATTAGAAATAAAAGAAATAAGTAACATCTATAGCAATTTTTTTTTAGAATATTATTAAAAAAAGATTATGAATAAGGTATTTTTTAGTACCATACGAATTTTCAATCTTTAAAATAATACTAATTAATGAAATCTAAAAAATAATATTAGAAGGATTAAATACAAATTAAAAAATTATATTATAATTTAGAATCTAAGGTTTCTTCTACAATGAAGATGCATATAAGTTTGCAAATAAGTGTGAGCTAAAAACTAACAAAAGAAGATTAACCACTGGCCATAATCAAAACACTAGATTGAAAGTATGCTTTGCTTTAAGAAGTTGAAATTAAATACTTAACAATGAGTAAGACAAGAAACCTTCATTACTATATTGTTTCTTATATAAAGAATCTTTGAAGAAAAATAAAATAATAAAGCTTATGATACATAAGTAAGGTGATATTTATTTCAAATTTTAGGATACCTTTTAAATACTCACAAGCTAATACTACATGATTACATGGTCATTTTAAAGTTTGGTGAAAATCAAAAATTATTGATCATCCTAGATTTAGATTGTTTTCTGTATTTTTAAGGCATTATTTGGTAAAAATAGGAAACGAGGTTTTTATGCTTCATATTCTAAAAATTGATGGCATAAAACATTAATTTTTTTAGTAATAAAATTTTCACATAAAGAATGTTTAAGATTTTTTTTTCATAAAAAAACCAAAACATAAGATTTAAACCAAGGTACTCAATAACACATCAAACTAAGTAAAATATTTTGAATCACAACATTGAAGAATCAATGACTTAAAAGAAATATAAAATTCATAAGACATGTATGTATATATATGTAATTAAAAATCAATCTAAATATACATGTGTATATATATATATATATATATATATATATATATATATATATTATATTCATAAAAATAAAGTAGATGAATTAATCAAGAGATATGATTTAAAAATAAGAGGTTAAAAGAAATTAAATTAAATTTTAAAATCTCTTGAACATGTACAACATTCAAATTATATTAAACAAAAAAGAGTAAATTTTTAATTCTAAAAATATTTAAAAAAATATACATATTTTTTTAAAACTATCTTTAAAAGCCAAGTTTTGTAAGTAAAATTTAAATTCAATTTTGTAATTTTATAAAAAAAATATCCATAATATCTCTTTTAAAAATATATGAAATAAATTTATTATAGATAATAGTAATAATTTAATCATCTTCAAAATCATCATAAATAAATTTAGAATTAAAAATAAATAATTACAAGATGATAAACCATCTAGTTGTTATAATATTAGTGCTAAAAAGAAACAAGAAGGAACAAGATTGTGAAAGTCACTAAAGTCCAAATTTTACTTGGTATACTATTTCCAACTATGTTAAGGACTAAAACAACTAAAAAACAACTTACAACATAGATTTTAGGTTCTATCTTCTCTAGAATAATTCTAGCTTGACAAAAAAAAGAAATATAAAGATTTAAACTTTAATTAAATCAATAATAATATATAATATTGAGGTGGTATGTATGGATCTTGATATATGTTTTAGCAACATTAATTTATATAAGGTTATCTTATAAGATAATTTTAATATAAGGTTATCCTAAAATTCTTTATATCATAGATAATGTTTTAGAAAAAATATTTTAAAAGAATATAAACTTAGTTTTTTACTTAATAAAATAATATTTATTTAAAAGTAAATCTTATATATATATATATATATGTGTGTGTGTGTGTGTGTGTGTGTGTATGTATGTGTGTCTATTTGTGATTTTTAATTTATATAAGACTCTTTGTATTATTTTGGATGTAAGTTTTAAATAAACTTTATTAATAATGTACTTTTGGGAATTTTTAAAAATAATTTGATAGCATAAATTTGGATTTACTAAAAAATTATCCATATCAAATTATAAAATTTTTGCTACAATCACAACAACTTATTCTTGTTAATTTTTCAATTATTTCTTGTTAAAATGAAACTCACTTTCTATGCAATTAACAAATCATATATATATATATATATATATATATATATACATATTATAGAAATATCATCCAATTTCTTTATATATATTTATATATATTAACCAATTTCTTTATTGGAATAATAAAAAATAAAAATATATGTTGAGTAGGTGGTGTGTTGTGTTGAAAAGAGCAAAAATTAAGACATGTGATGGATGGGTGATTGTGGTGAAAATAGCAATCCCTTATATATACTCTACTCCAAAGTTACACCGTTGATCCAACAATGCATACATACACATCCATATTTACGCATTTATTTATTCATGTATATACATGTTTTTGAGGAAAACGGCCACTCTGCACCATCCGTTATAAACAGGTCCGTCTTGTTATCTGTGAATGCAAACGAGCACATCGAGCAGCGTCCTTCCAAACCATATGAACCCGTCGTGCTCCCACAAACAGTTCAAGTTCTTCAAGCCAAACTTGATGAAACAGCTACACAAGTTCGATGTAATTGTCTACACCAAATTAAGCCATGAATTGATCATGCAATGAATGAAATGCCCCAAACTGAGCCCAGAAATTAACTCAAAGCATTCAGCACACCCTTTCGAGATCGGTCAGCATTTGAACGTGAGTACCAAGACCAGCCACACAAGATTCTCAACAAATGCGAGGGCATGTTTCAAACACACTGCTCACGGAACTGCCTGAAGAGCAATCACAACGCGAAGCAGCCTTTAAATTGACATGAATCTAAGGCAGTTATAAGTAAGGTACCAGAAGCCGATGCTGAGCTAGTGCTATGGAGAAACTAGCTAGATCCCTTCAATTGCGATAACTATCACAGCCACAAACTTGTTCGAAATTGTCAAATGATGTAGGCAGTGCTTGCATCAATCTGCAACGCAATGCACAACTTCAGCTTCTAGGGATTAATCTTCATGCAGCAAGACTATAAACGTTGTAGTAAACAGGACCCAGCTGCAGATTCTGAACAAATTAGTGAGGATGTTTGTAGGTGTTGCAGTATTCCTTGTGATGAACAAAACCACAAAAATCAAACACTGAACCAAACTTTGAAATGTTTGTAGGCTCGATTGTAAGCATTTTGGATATTCTCCTCTTCATGATGCTTGTACACGTTGTGTCACTGTAAATAATTAACATAATTTTTTTTCTCTGATTGTAAAGTTGTACTCATTATTTTGAACAATTCATATGAATGAGTACCACAATTCATGTACGAGTTTTTTTTGAGGCTTTGAACGTGCAATGGCTTGTAATTGAAAACTTACTTGAACTTTTTTTTTTAAAAAAAAAAGAAATAAAAGAATGGAATTGTATGTATGTATGTATGTATGTATGTGTGTATGTGTATGTATTATTTTATTACAAATCCTGTGAACAACTAGATCAAAAGAAAAAGGAAAAAGAAAGAAAGAAGACAGCATCATTATGTGGAAGAATCATTATTAATATAAACAAATGTGATCAATTACAAAATTAAAAAACTTCGAAGCATGTGCGTTGCAAAATGGAGATATCACCAACGACAGATACACATGCTATAAAGCAATATTATCAGGGAACCTTGGAAAAATGTGAGAACTTATCCTTACCTTAAGCAAGTTTACAAAACTATTTTTATAATGCAATCGTTACGAGTAAAATTTGTTAAGTTGCTACAAAAAAAATAGAGTAATAACACCATTAATAAAAATGTCATTTTTTCAGAAGGAATAGTTTGAAAAGATGTATCATGGGTTTGGGAGTTTGGACTGAGAAGAGATTAACTACCCAAACCCAATTGCAGAACTAAAGTATTCCGCCTTCATGTAACATTCAGAGGCAATACAAGTGAATCCATAGGAACGAAGCGGTGTCGGTGGCACCAAGCAAGCAAGCAAAGGCGCCGTGAAATCACGCCGAGGACGAGGAGGAGGAACACACAATGAGAGAGCGAGATTACGAAGCGGCAATCGGAGGGTGTGTTTGAGCACTACCGAGTTTATTGTTCAATTCCCATACAACGTTATACACTATACGCACACACAATACCACACGACCATCGAACAGTTAGTTCCCAGTCTTCCGCACGCTCCCTCTCACAGAAAGTCTTCAGCCCGTTCTAGAAAGCGGCCGCAGGATGGATTTGCCGCATCCACACATTTTGCAACCTGCCAATCGAAACTAGTTACATCTACGCTCTGTGTCTGTATGCTTATCAGTGCGCATGATGGTATCATCTATTCCTTGGCGCAGGTTCCGGCAGCGCAGTCGCAGTTGTCGCACTTGCCCCCGTTCTCCTTTGCGCAGGTTCCTGTCATGCAGTAGCCACATTCAGATCCATCACCCCGACGCTCCAGGGATTTTGAGTTCAAGCTAACTAGTCCAATTCGTGCACATTGCAAGGCACATGGTTCATTTCTTAGGGCTTTTTACGTGCGCATGGAGGTTGCGATGAGACCGTATTTGGCATTTTGCCAAAAGTTTTCATATCACCCCAGAGAATGGTTGGGTCATTCCAGATCATCATGTTCCTGTGATTCAGCCTAATGTTGACTGGTAGCGATTCATGTTAAGAGAAGAACAGAAAGGAATAGCAAGGTTTTGCAAAGTAGAACCTGCGGCGCAGTCACAGTTGCCGCACTTGCCGCCATTCTCCTTGGCGCAGGTACCTGCTGCACAGTCGCAGTTGCCGCACTTTCCGGTGTCCTTGGCCATTGTTTAACTTCGGCGTTAAGTGTCTGAAACTGCGAGTCAACAGCGAGACACACAACAGTTTTAGAGCGGATCCTCATCAGAGCTGAATGGAACGCTCGAGTTTTTTTACACTTTCAAAATGACCTTGAACTCGGAATTAACGTGAGATGGCGTTCGCTCGTGTTCGAAGTGCGAAACCATACCTGAGTGTCGCTGAAAGATCGAAATGAAAGGATAAACAGCTGCGAAGCCACAAAATTTTAACTTCATTAGAACAAAGAATCTGATGCAATTCAATACTGCGTGACGCTTTCATAGCTTGAAGAAAACTCCCAACAATCAAAAATCCACTTGGTGTAAGTCTCACTCTCATCCAAAAGAACCGCTTCAAACTTATCAAGAACATCCATCTGTGGGAACTTCACCTAATGCTAGTGTATGCCTAAATGTCGTAATGTCACGGACATCAAAATGCATAGACTTGCAGACACAGCGTGTGGACTGAGAGCACCATCTCACCTAAGTTAAGCGATGCTCGAGAAGTCAAAAAAGCCTTCTTGCTTCTAGCATTAAATACTAAAGCTCCAGCTTGAACCAAGACTCGAAGAACCTGCGTCGATCCTTCAGCCTGTGAAGCTACCTTAATTTGCGCCTCCTCAGTGTGTGGTACTTCCTCTGTGGTCCATTGTAGTGACCATGGTAGAATTATGCGTCAACGCAGTTACCCGTCAACACACGCTACTAATTTACCATCGGCCACGGAACAGAGTGGTGAAGATGAAACACCATTCTAACCTACATGAATACAAAAATTTAATCTCAACTTAATTTTTAAATAACGGTCAGCACTCGGCTCCTATTTCTTTTGACACGAAAAGTTTAATTCTCTTCGTAGTGATCCACACAGGCACTTGGAAGAAGATAATCTCTCAAATCGGTATATCCCCAATACCCGAGATTCTAATCATGTCTGTAGCGATGGGCCCTCATTCTTGTGGTTTGGTGGAACCTACAACTTGACGGAAGCTGATGCGCAATTCTCCAACGATTTTTAAAATAAAGGAATTCAGATGAACTTTCAATAATGATTTTTCTTAGGCAGACGCGCCTGAAGACGCTTTCCTTGAATTGCACGCATTCTCAAATTGAGAATATCACTCTTTCTGGTCCCAGGGCGCGCATCTGGAACACTACTCCACCATACGGGGTGCCTTGCTTTACCCCAAGATCAGTGGAACAACAAGATCGTGACCGGAAACTGCCATCGTTTGCATTGATTCAATGCGTAAGATCACCGTCTTGTACGATTATCAAATAAGGATCTTTGCAGAGTGGCGTGCGCAACACTCAGAAGTGATCAGTGTGAAAGTAGCGATTGCTCAATGGCCTCATATCGGGAGCTTGTCCTTGTCCCACCTCCCTGTCTCGATCAACATTTTTCCTCTCAAAGCAACTTGTCCTCATTTCCGACTTCCGGGACGTGCAGTTACCTATAAAATATTATTTCGATGGGTCAGAGTAGCTAGAAAGCTGTAATTGGTAGTATTCCTCTGAGACAGAAGTGAAAAAATTGTATGGGATGTGTTGGAAACGGATGTAAGGATTTCCACGAAGTGTTTCCACCGAGCCAGTACACACTGACAGAGGGATTCTGGAAAATGGCCTGTACCAGGGATGGAAAGGAATCATCTTGATCTAAAAAGGTGTAAATTTAGAATGAAAATGCTAATTTTCTGGCATGTTATCCAGAGTATGGAGATAGGTATCAACCGTCTCGGTTGTTCCACCCCTTCAAAAATCATTCTTAAACATGAAGATTCTTTTGATAGAAGACGACAGGCGGTGGAGGGTTCCAGGAAAGGTCTTTTGCCTCTGATTGAAGAAGTTTCGTAAACTCTGGAATATTTATAGCAGGTTGTGGTATGTTAATCGGATGATGATCGATAGATTATCAATAGGATTTTTGAGGTTAATATGAACTCCAACGTGATGCATTCTGGCGATTTCCAGATTCTTCATTCTAATTTGTGTAGGCTACATCCAACACTAGGAGATGTGATTAAGTCTTCAGTTGTCAAGAGACTCATCACCATAGAAATAGACTAACAAAAGATCAGAAAAATTGAACTTTTTCCAAAGTCATCTTCTTTCACCGTGGGTCATACTACTAAAACACCATCTTTCTTGGCATCCCACACAAATTATACTGAATACTTTATTCTCGCAAGGGTGCATGCTGACAAATCCACCATTTTTTCTTAAAGGGCTTGTTAAGGTAGAATTAAAAAGCAGCTTAGAAAATTTGTCCTCCACCGCCTCTCCCAATCCAACCCCCCCCCCCCCCCCCCTCCCCCCTCGAAGGCAGTGCTCAAAATTCTTGTGAACCATTCACAGTCGCGCTGCCACCAACGTTTCATTCAAGACGCATGCATCGCAGTGTCCAAAGAATTCACCGATCGTGTGGTGATGCAAACACTTTTCCCAACGCAGGCCCCAGCTCATGGATACTCCCAATGAAAAAGAATAAACAGACTTTGGGGGTTTGTGATGTTACTTGTAGTAGAGGATAGTATGCGAATCTATACTGTACAATGGGGGTAACGTGTGCTGAGCGTGTGCTCCAATGGACCAGGTATGCAAAAATCTGCTACCGTGTCCCAATCGCTAGACTGCAGGCCCTATGCACGGAGAAAAGGTTGCATTGTTGCGTCAGTTGTACCAATCAGTGGGGCTCACTCCAGGAGCGCAATTTGTGGGGACTTGAGATGATTCCCGGCAGCTGATAGCACAGATCCTACCAGCGAACAGGGTGCTGCTTTATTTTGGACTACATAAGGTGAGGAGGGAGAAGGGTTCTGCGTCAGTCGATCATCAAGCTTGCTTCTAGCGCCTTCTACTGCTCACTCTCGCTTTACAGTGGTGAGGTTCTGCTCTCTCGCCCGACGTTGCTACTGCTGTGAGTGTGCATTGGTTCCTATTTTTGTGGCTTAAGGCATTGAATTCATCACTAAGTGTAGTCATGGTTGGTTACCTTCCGGGTCCTCTCTCTATGTCTTGCCAAGACAAACTGATGGAGCGAGACCTATCAGATTTTAAGATTCTAAACTTCTTTCAGAAAGCTGTGTTGTCATGTGTATTGTTACATCAATTAATTTTGTCATGTTTATGAATTGCAGCTTGAAACACTACACACCGACCCATTACAATGGCCAAGGAGAACGGCGGAAAGTGCGGCAACTGCGACTGCGCAGCGGGCACCTGCGCCAAGGAGAATGGCGGCAAGTGCGGCAACTGCGATTGCGCCGCAGGTTCTACTTCACAACCCTTAATCCGTCACGACAGTCCTCATCAGACAGGCATAGGCTAAGCGCGTCAACTAGAGAACACAACCATATTCCTCGTCATATCTTGCTTTTCCGCTCACTATAATGGCGCAAACCAAAAGGTCGTCCTTGCATGATTTGCCGGCTTTTTTTGAACATATTACCATGCATGCCGCGTGAAATTGTCGCTGACTGTGGCTATGGTGGAGTTGACCCGTCAGGAACCTGCGCGAAGGAGAATGGAGGCAAGTGCGGCAACTGCGACTGCGCTGCTGGAACTTGTGCCAAGGAATAGACTATCACCAAACATGATCGATAGATCAGGAGTGTAGACAAAAAAATATATATCTAAAAAAGAAAAGAAAAAAAGGTCCATGTACCACTTACATGAATCTGTATGTATTGTGAGACTTATATTCGCAGTTGCCGCACCATGGATTGGATTAGAAAGGCTAGCTGCGACGGGGGTGTGAGCAAAAAACGGAGAAGTGTAGTTGCAATTTAAGAAAAATTTGTATCGCGTGTGTTCATTGAATAAAACCAGAGTGTGCTCCGGCACACACCTCCTTCTTTGGACCCACTGATCCCCACCACTCACGTACATCTCCCAGCGGCCCCACACTCTGATTCTCCCGTACTAGCGACGAATCCCACATCTGACCCATCTCGCAGCGACTCTGCTGCAGCCATCGCATCGTCCACAGAACTATCTACACTGGATCTGTCGATGCCAGTTTATTTGATCTTCTTTTGCATCTTCTAGTGCATCATTCAAACCTGATTCTACGCTTCTACGCGTCGGACACGTCGATCGCTAAAAGGCTAGTTTCTAGACATGATACTAGACGCTCCCATGAGTTGTGATCAACGAATCCCGGTGTCTTTGCCTTCGAAACCTCGACATTCCCAACCATCGGCATCATTCGCTACCCGATGGCTTTGTCTGAATTTTGTGTGTCGAGTGCGATTCGGCGCCGATTTCACGGAGGTGCCGCATTTGCGCTCATTGAACAATCTCTGCTTCCCGGTCTGAGTTTTTGTGAATTCATGGTGGTGAATTCCGCACTGTGCCTATGGCTACTTCTAAAGTTGCTTCTCACTAGCATTCAACAATAGACAATGAACCAGTTAACATAACATGTTTAGGGGAATGCTAAATAGACCCATGCTCAATAATATGATATGTGGTTGGTTTTTATTGGTTGCAGATCCAATCTAGAGGCCATTTTATGGGTGGATAAATTTAGTACTTGGCATATTTAACATTCCTCTATATTTATATCATTATGTACATGTATGTATGTACCATTTCTGTGTGTATTGGAGTTCATGGTTAAACCATGTATGTGTAGCCGTCCATTGCCACCAACATAATCATAAGGAAAACTAAGCTATCATTGGAAGGCAAAGACACTGGGATTGTAGACAAAATATTGCTTTTAAACTTGGCTAAATATATATTACAAATATTTTGAAAAGGGAGTAATATGGTAGATACAAAAACAAAAAACAAAAAACAAAACAAAACAAAACAATAAAAAAAATAATAATAAGTAAAGATTTGGCATTAAAATTTTCAAGAAGAAATATTTATTTATAAATCACAGTAAAAATTTATGTAGTTGGTAGATTCTACTTTCAAAACTTAGATCCTTGGATATTAATTTATAGTAATAATTTTGATAAGAGTTACATTAAAAAAAGAGACATTTTAATTAATTTTAGGGCAAAACAAACAACATAAACATATCAATATATATATATATATATATATATATATAATTGCTTGTGAGCCTCAAGACTAGTTGTAAATATTGATGATCTAATGTGCACTAATATGTTTTATTTTCGTTTATGTAATTTATATACAAAATTTATTTAGTTAACAATTTAAATCTCAAATTAGATTTTATTTATTAAAAAAAAAAAAAAAAAAAAAAAAAAAAATCGATTTGGTATTCTGTTTTTAAAAATATAAAAATATTTTTCTTACAACTATATGTGTTCTATTCCATTTAAATAATTATATATGTATTTAAAGATTTAATTTCTTCAAATAAAATTTAAATAGTTTAAAAATAAAAATTTACTAAATGGTAGATTTAGTTTAGTATGAGTAACATTTTTGATCCAAAATAAATTATTATATGCATAATCAATTATTTAAAATACTGTTAATTTTATAAAAATATATGATAAAAAAAATATAATATTATAATAATATGCCTTATTATTACAAAATAAAAATAATACTAGTATTATAATAACTTTGTGTTAATAATAATAAGTAAAAAAACCTTTTTGATAACTCATATTTCAAGAAGATTGATCTAAATACTTGCATGTTGTTTATTATAGCCAAAAAGCTTATTCATAGTAACTTTCTTTTCAACATCTTCATTTACAAGACATTAATATAAATATGAATTTTTTATTTTTTAATTCAGTACTAATTTTCTAAATATATACATAGAATAATATCAACAATGTAAAATCTACTTAATCTATGGTCATGATGCTAATAACATGTACTATAGATAATATTATTAACAAAATTGGTGAAGACTCTTAAAGTTAGACTTTTATAAATAATATTATTTCTATACCACATTTAAAAGAAAGATATATATATATATATATATATATATATATGTATTTCTTTTAAATGTGCTATTCTATAATCAATTTGTTCTTTGATAATAAAAAAATTATAGCAAGAAATGACACTCTAATATCACATGTTTAGAAGCCCATTTTTCAAAACTTTAAGTGGAGGTGTGCTAATCAATATATTTTGTAGATGGGAGCAACATTTACAAATATGCCAAGAATAATTTGCTAAGAATACCAAATCGATTTTTTTTTTTTTTTTTTTTTTTTTTTTTTATAAATATTCCTTAACTTATATTTTTAACACAAATTCTTAAAGACAAACTCAAGATAAATATGGTGAACACTTTGTTTATGATACATTTGTATTCCATAGAACAATACATATTAAAGCTTAAAGTACATAAGTTTATAGTAGGCAATGAAGGTATCTATATTGCCATTTTCATTACCTATTAGAATAATGTAGTTCTATCATCTTAAATTTGAAATAAGAATAAAAATAAAACTAAAAACTAGTTATGCACATATTGATTTTTTTTGTTACTATTAGATGACAATATAAAGTGAGTAGAACATGAAATTACAAATATTAGGTAATATATGATTTAGATTTTTTTAGTATAAACTACATCCATAAGAAATATAAGAAAGACTTTTAAATTATTTGTGTATACAAAAAAAAATAAAAATGAATGGAGGCATTACTACAAGATCAACCAAAACTCTCTTTCACACAAACATGATAAACAAGCATCTTAATCAACTCAATGGATTCAATGAAAACTTTCTCTCAAACTACATCATGGTGCATGAGAGCTACATGGTGGGACATTTCCACAAGGCCAACAACCTATTTATGACCAATTCTGACATCCTATGATTGGAAATAGGTTGGGGGCTGGTTAAAATGATGTTAAGCTATGAGCAATATATGAAATTCTACTCAAATAGGTATGCACATATGAGGTGGTTCCTTATTTTCTGCTCATGCTGTGGTTGGAAAACATGGTTGTAATCTTCAAAATTGCATGAGCAACATGGCAAAAATCCAGAATGCTATGGTTGGAAATAAAATCAAGGGAGCACTTAAATTCTGCACATTTGTAGTTGTACAACTCAATTGTGAGGTAAGATACAAGACAAAGACTAGGTGACTATGAGCTAAATTTGAACACATTTTATGTGGCAGTTGAAAAATAGTGGATGTGTGACATAGGATTCGGAGATGAGCAGAAACAAGGAAAAATGGTGACAACAATCTCACTCAAAAACAATGAATTACTTTATGGGACGGCTACCTTTACCTTAAATACACATTTTATGGGTCGGCTACCTTAAATGCTGCTGCTAGTCATACCACGCAGACTGTCAAGGTGAAGGTACTTGATGAAGTTTCTGACTGCCTAGGAAGTGTTCACTTCAGGTGAATCTAGCAGCATTCAATGAAGAACTCATCAAAATTATTCTTAATCGAGTATAGATAAAAGCTTACCTAAAAGATCCAGAAGGGGAGAAAAAAAAACATCAGAAATGATTTCCCTTCTAATTAACTTCCAATCACCAAGCCATACACAATTGATCTTGGTAAGGATAACAATGAACCAATTGAATCGAAAGACACGTAAGGCAAATATACAGGAAAGTTTACCACCTGTACTGAATACTCTACATGTACAAACCCTCAGGCACGCCCTCCTTCTTCTTATACATCACTTTCTCTTTAGCCTTCTTGAAATCGACTTGAGTCACCTGCAGGACCAACATCCAATAAGATCCATTTAATTGCACAACCGTGCTGAAAAAATCAAAATCACATTATCAACTAAAACCTTGAAGGTGCAATAATAAAGTACTGCATAACTGGCACCTGATTTCAACTAGTCAAGAAGCCCATATTCATGAAATGCAAAATACGAACAGTCTCACCTTCATGCGGCGCTCACGCAATGCAAGAAGACCAGCTTCCGTACAGATAGCTTTAATGTCAGCACCAGAAAACTCATCTTTGGTCATCACAAACTCCTCTAGGTTTACATCATCAGCCATAGTCATTCTAGAAGTATGAATCTGCAGAGATCATTAAAAGAAACCAAAACAAGCGATCAAAAGAATTTCGTTTATCAAGAAAACTCAATCTCCAACTTCTCACACATAAAGCTAATGAAGACAATCGACAGAGTTCTTGTAGATATCGCATAATCATGATCCTAATTTTCATGAACTGAAAGTTCGAACTTTTTTTCAAGAAAAAACAATCAGCTCTGTTTACTTTCAACACATCCAGTGAGTTACAGACATTGCCCGAACCCAATGTTAAGAGAAAACATGGACGTGTGGTAACAGAATCCTGGACGTTACAAGGATATGGAAGATGATGAGCACAGTATGATCGTAAAAGAAATAAACATGCAAGGTTACCAAGAATGCTATAACCAGACCTGGAAAATTCTCCTCTTGGTTTTGATATCTGGCAATGGAAACTCAATCTTGCGATCAATTCTACCAGGTCGAAGCAGAGCCGGATCCAGGCTTTCGATACGATTAGTAGCCAGAATGACTTTTACGTCACCACGAGCATCAAATCCATCCAACTGATTCAACAACTCCAACATAGTCCGCTGAATTTCTCGTTCTCCACCGGAGTGAGCATCGTATCTATAATAAAGAACCAAATTTTCATTAACAAACTTAAGCGTCGAAACGAATACTGTGGCCCACTAGAGACTGGTCGAAACTTTAATGCTACGTCTGAAAAATACTCTAACACCCGATGAATGAAGTCCATACATAAAATTTTACTTTTCTGTAACTTCGGAACCATGCGAGACCTTAGCTAAAATTAATACTTGATAGTACGTTAAAAGAATGGAAATCCGCCAGCATCCTCACTCATGTTACAAGAAATATGCGAGTAATGGCCATTTAGAGCCCGTTCCGAATTGCTTACATGCATGAAAAGGATTCAAGACTAAGACTTGGGAGGGGGGGATGCGGGGCAGGATGAACTGTGCAAGTCAGGAGTAAAGAAGCATGTAGGATTAGGTCCTGCTTGAGAAGCTGAGACCTCAACAGCGAATTACTTAAAACAGATAATACTGCACTAATGAGAAGAGCCGGGAATTACCTCTTCGTACCGACGGCATCAATTTCGTCAATAAAGACGATGGTAGGAGACAATTCGTCTGCAACCCGAAACAACTCTCGTACCAACTTTGGTCCATCACCCAGATACTTCTGTATCAGCTCACTCCCAACAACGCGGAGAAATGTAGCAGACGTGGAATTTGCAACAGCCTTAGCAAGGAGCGTCTTTCCAGTTCCTGGTTCACCATACAAAATTACACCCTTGGGAGGCTTGATACCAATATCCTCATAAAGCTCTGGATGTGTTAGAGGTAGCTCCACTGCTTCCTTGATTTCTTGAATCTGAGGGTCTAATCCACCAATGTCAGCATATGACTCTAGAGGAGCTTTTTCAACTTTCATAACAGAAACCATTGGGTCCACGTCATCTTGCAGCAATCCCACAACTGAAAGGACCTGCACAAGACAAAGAAAATCGTTTGGACAAGTTTCCCATGATCTGGTGATAACTCAAACCATGTTCGTGACCGCCAGGACTAATCAGTTACTCTAACTTGACGCAAGCTGGCCAAAATCAAGGACGTATCAAGGCGCGTATCATACATTTAAAGACTACTCAACAACTCAAACAATGGCATTGTTGAGAAACAGATATTCAATTTAAAAAACCGTCGAAGATTGCTACAAGGTGGTAACAAGAGAAATAGCTAAGAAATTAAGTCTACGGGAACCATTCAGGACTTATCACTGGATGAAATGGTTCGAAGTTGATCAGACAACTATACAAAGAATCACACAGAAAGGCATTCCACGCCCGAATTATACTAGCGAATAACTAATAGATTCCAAAAAAGGAACCGTCTGTATACGTTTAACTGTTCACGTCGAAGGCAAATAAAACCCTAATTTAATAAACCCTCAATTTATGGTTGATCATGAAACAAAATGCTTTGAAAGATTGCAACAATTGGAATCTAATTTCAGAGCACAATCAATAAAAATTCTCCTACTGAGACTGAAGTGACCCTAAAAAGACATAAGCGGTACTTCTGTGAGAAACCAAAATCCTAAACGAGGTTTTTGATTTGCGCATATTGAAACCCTACCAACTATCCTAGAGAATAAGTTGAAACAACCAAGCGAGTGGAAAAAAAATAAGCAATGATAAGCCTCAGAAGATCGCACCTTGTTGTGCATGAGGATTGCGCAACCAGGCTCGAGCTGATCCTTGTCCACGAACGATAAAATATTCACATAATACTCAGGACCCACGGACGATGACACAATAGCGTGATTCTCGTCAATGATTTCCTCCAAGTTACCAACGCTCATTGGCGACCCTCGCAGGTCATCAACCTTCGACCGGTCCTCCTCGTTCTTATCCTCCTGCGGCTTCAACCGCTCCTGATTCGTCACAAATTCCTCCTCCATCAATAAATAATCCTTCACACGTTCCAGCTTCAGCAATCGCAGCTTACATTTGGTCGCGGGAGTGACCACGGGCAACCGCGCCGCAGCCTCGGAACCCTTCTGTTTCCGCTGCTTGCGTCCAACGCGTGACGGCGGTGCCGCGGGCTCGTACTTCTTCTCCTTCTTGCCACCATCTCCCTTGGTGCGGTCCCCGCCAGGACCCTGCTTTGGCAATCCTCCCGACTGCCCCTGCCCCATTTCCTCCCCTCCTTTCCTCCAACTCCCAAAACTCTTCGATCCTCCTACACCACCACTCAATCTCCAAAGTGCTTCAAACCCAACTTCGATACTACGTCATTTCATGTAACCCTAGCCTCACAGGCCGGACTACACTACTAATAAACACATACGTAACTAGAAGAAATGAGAAAAACCTCCACGGGATCAGAATGTCGACAGGACCAGAACCAAGCAAGCACGCGAGCTCGACGACGAAGAACAGACAAGTCCGGAGTTCCACGGTTATGCACCCCTCACGGTTATGAAACCGGGACGGTTTTGGGGCGCTCTCGGTCCGTGTCGGTCACGGGTGTGGAGATGGGGCCACCAGGCGACGTCCTACTGTGGTAACGACTTTCATCGACGCTCAAGGGGATGGATGAACTATTGTGGCGAAACTCAGCTCTGACAAAATTATAAAATAAGTAAAAATATGATTAAAATTTCAAAAATTACGCACAAATTGTGATATAACTATAAGAATGATAATGGAAAAGGATTGTTTTCAGGAAGCATACTTTAAAAAAATCTCAAATCAAAATATACTCTCGTTGATGGTTGTTCTATCAAAATACTAAAGAATTCACCATATAAAAATTGATTTTAGTACTTGTTAAATGTTATGATACATTTAACCAACTAGTTGAACTTGTGCCATTGTCATGGAAAAAATGCCATTTAGAATTGAGACTATATTTTCAAACAAAGCATCCTTCAAGTGGAAGCAAAGCAAGGCATAGTTCATTTCACATTATGCTATTCTACACATTGCTTGATGATTACTTGTTGCTCTTGGAACACATTAGCTATTGAAATTTGTATACTTCAGCTTGCTAATAATTGTAACATAGAAGGAAGTTGGTTAAGTATCACACGCAGGTTTTATTAATGTCAGTAAAGTTTAATGCAAGTACACATTGTAATTGAAAACAAATAAAATAAAGCAAAATTAATACGAGGTAATATACAATTTTTGGCCTTATGAATCTGTAACTCTAGTTATATTAAGGCCATGTGAATCATTGCACAATTCAACTTTTGTATCGCTTTTTCTTTACTTTTGATAAAAACAATGAGAGATGCATCCAATCAAAGATTAAATTTGTCTCCTTTGGTTTATTTTGTTGGTTTATCTTTCCTTGATGTATTTTACATAAGAAATTCTTGTTTAAAAAAACTTATGTTAAAGTTTTAAAAATTGAACAAGTATAATAAGCTTTATATATTTTTTATAATTTATAATATTTCTTTTTATTATTAAATAATTTGATAAAATAAAAAAAAATTATTAATAAATTCAAAAGTTTGAACGTTTATTAAATATAGGAAAATTATAAAGCAATCTAAATTTTTACTAAATGGACCCAAATGCCTTATTCCCAATCATTCCTTAATTCTCAACCATTCTCATATTTTCAACCATCATCCTTATTTCCAACATTCCCAATTCCCTCCTTCCATCTCTAGAAACAATTGAGAATCAAGAATGATTGGAAACAAAGATGGGAGCTTGAAGGATGCAATGATGCTTAAATTAGAATGGATCACTTTAATAAAAATTTGAGTCACTTTATCATTCCCTTAAATAAATATTTAATAAATATAATTTATTAAAGAATGTTTAAATAGAAAATATACAAGTAAAATAATATCATATTTTAGAAGTTAAAAATCCTTTCTTGGATATGTATATATGCATATATATGGATTCAATCATGTTTTAAAATATAATAAGATAGACAAATAATTTTTTTATGTATTTTTTAAAATATTCACCTAGATCTTAAAATACATTATCCAAAAGATTACAACTAACACATTTTTATAAAAGCATATTTATTAATGAATAGAATTATTTTTTGAGCATGTCTTGTGTAGTATGAATCACATCACATTTATTGAGTGTCTTCATACAAATCTTACATGTCTAATGCCACTTCTTACGACATGGAGGATTTTACTCAAACATCATTCTGTAGCTATCCACTCTTATTTTTTTAAAATAAGTCGTTATTTATTTATCGGAAACTATCCCAAAACAGTTTTTGCATACATGTAATGATGAATCATCGGAAGCAGACAACAATGATTTGTTTAGCTAAGATGTTTCAATGGCAAACCAAATTCAAAGATGTGAATCTTTCACAGCAGTCAATTTTTTTCATAATAACTGTGAATCACCATTTTTTTTATTTTTATTTTATTGTAATTTGTGTAGATGATAATGAAACAAAGTTATCCAATGTTTCTCACTTGCACTTTGGAGGAATTCCTCATCCCACTGTACCACCAAAAAGCCCAGAAATTGGTAAGCCAATTGGGTTGATGAAGCAGTGTATGGATTAGTTTGTAACTGTTTTCTTACATGGTCCTGATGGTATTATGGGAGAATTAGACTCTTTCAGCTCATGCTATTGGGTCTAATGACTTGAGGGCAATTTGTACAACTTGAGAGCATGAATTGAATTACAGTGGTGAGAAGCTTATCTTACCGTCAAGTTTGAAGCTCGTAATCTTGCACAGGTGATAAGGCATTGAGTCCAGCCATAGCCTGCATTTCATGAGGATGACCACTCTGGTTGATCATAAGTACCACGGTTCCTTCACAGACGTCGAGGTGTCCGCCCTGTAAGCACCAGTTCGGTGGTTGAAGACTTAGCACATCAACCACGCGGCAGTGTAGGTTCAACAAAAAGCAATAGAATGCAAGAGGGTAGGTAATACAGTGTGGGCATTGAGGCGAATGAGGCGAATGTTCACGGCAAACTGGGGAAGCTGGATTGTTGATAAAAGGTTTGACAAGTAGGTGCCATCTACTTTTGGGGCAGGCAAGTTGCAAGGCAATGTCTACTAAATACAGATGGAACCAGCCAGAGCGTAAATTTAGGAGGTGTGTTTTTGTATGCTTTCTACAAGAACCCTGTCCGAAGTCTTGTGCATTATTACGATAAACTGCGTTCACTTGAAATTCAGTATCCTTCAAATATTGCAGATAACTGGGTCACGGAGGCACATCACGTGGTAATTGACATTAATATCATTGAGCAGCTGCAGAACAAAATCAATTCTCAAACTAAGGAAAAAAAAGTGTTCAAACAAGATTACCTCCATCTAATACTGTCCTAAAGCAGAGTTGTATTGAAGTCCAGGTTTACCCAAGCTTAACTTACTCTCACAAATAAATGATCAACCAAAGGTAAGCTGTCATGCTCGTGAGAGGAGCTTACACCAAGTTCCTACTACCTTGACAGCGTGATACATTATCTGGAAAAACAAAACTTGCAAAAATTTGGGTAAAATGATACAAACAATCCAGAGCCTACACAGGAACCAGGTTCTTGAACCCCGCCGTGCATGTATGCACAGAAGCGTATCCGTTTCGACAGCCTAGCGGTAGACAGCCGAGGAGAGGACCACGAGTTTCATGAAGCTATTACATCACCATACCTCCATCGATGTTGAAAGTCTGAAATAAACACGCCAACCATAGCACCGATCATCATGAGTTTTGCATCCTAGTTGTAAGTCTAGTCATTTAGCTCTCATGATACCATACACCCTGAAAGTGCTATTAAAACCACCATAATCGAACAAATATATTCTGGACAACGTGTATAGTGTCCCGCGGTACAAACCTGACCAGTAATGTAAGCTGCTGCTGGGTCTGTTGCTAGGAATTTCACCAGCCCAGCGACATCCTCTGGTGCACCATACCTCCCTGTTTCATGCGAAGACCATACGAAAATGGCATGATGCTTAGCTCATATCCCACGATTCTGAATCATTGGCCGCTTCCTCTATTCCTACCGCTGACAGAGCGAACAAGAGAAAATTTGGGGAGAACATAAGAAAAATGCAGATGCCTGCACTATGTGAGGATCTCCCTCTCTCAGCAAACATCCTTAATATTCGACACACTCACCCAGGGGAATGTTCTTGAGTATTTGCTCCTCAATGTCTTTGCTCAACTTTGCTGTCATGTCAGATGAAATAAAACCAGGAGCCACAGCATTCACCTGCAGAGAACAGGAAAAGGTACAGTAAGAGGGAAATCGAACATATTCAGATAAGAACCCGCCAAGGTGAAATTGACAACCGGAAGTCTGGAGGCCCAACATAAGCGGTCGATGCAGCTTACTGTAATATTGCGACCAGCGTACTCACGAGCAACCGATTTAGTGAAGCCAATCACTCCTGCTTTAGCTGCGGCATAATTAGCTTGTCCAACATTTCCCGTCACACCTACTACTGATGAGATGTTGATGATTCTTCCCTGGATGGCAATGCATATAAGTAAGTTTCAAGACATAACCACACAATCCTTCAAGCAGAAATTCAGTCAGAATCCCTGGATAAAATGACCGCACCAAGAAACAATATAGACAGTCTTCATTTTAGGAGCACAAGCAAGTCCAGTAAATGTTCATTACCTTTCTCTTCTTCATCATCACTTTTGTTGCTGCCTGAATCAGAGTAATTTCAAAAACACACCAATTAGTTAGCTCTCTACAAGACAAGCAACAGTGACGAAGACCTAGAGTTTTGAGGTCCTAAAAAAATGCAGAGATACACCATACAAGTATTAAATGGTACTATTCGCATTGCAAGTTCCAATTAGAAGTTTCCTATATCGATATCATAACACCAAAGCGTTGCAGTTTCAGATCCATTCAAAACAAATACCATGCCAAGCTTCCAACTGTAACAAAAGTTAGCACTGAACATGATTTCAGACCTGAGTGCAGAGGAAAACGCCAGTGAGGTTGAGGTCAATGACATCCTGCCATTGTTCCTTCTTCATCCTCATCAACAAAGTATCCCTCGTAATTCCTAAAATTTCACCACTAATACATGAGACGTCAACCTTGAAAAGTATTCATGAAAATTGGCACGTTATAGCTGACTAAATACTAAAACCGATGAAGAACGTTGTCATACTGAAATAATTAAGTCTTCCCAATAATCCCACGAGCGAACTTAATTCATTAAACTAGAGCAGTCCTTTCAGTTAAGATCAAGATTACACGCAAAAGAATGAAAAAATAACCATAAAATATAATATGATAAAATCAATAAATCAATCAAATAGAGTTGAGTAGAGCCTGAAATTCATCGAGTTAGTACCAGCATTGTTCACCAAGATGTCGATTGTGCCCCACTTATTCATGGCCTGCCAACACACACGAGTCATGTTAATCTGGTCGCATAAAACGAACAGCACATAACGCAATATTACTAGATGGTCAAAATGGTCAAAAAAAGGCTAAGACAAGAGTCTAAAAGCTTACGGCTTTAAATAGTGCATCAACATCTGCCTCCTTGGACATATCACCACCACAGACAAGGGCGGAACCTCCCAACTCCTCAATCTGTACACACATCATGAGGGAAAAACTCGTAAAAACAAACCAAAGCCCCACTCTATATACTGGCTAAGAGGGGAACGAGGGCAAGCAGAACAAATGAGTTAGCGTCGTCAGAAACAACGTACCTGTTGGGCAACTTCTTCAGCCTCCTTGGCTGATCGTGCATAGTTTACTAGCACCTGTATCGCCGATTCAAATTCCATAGCCAATACATCAAACGAAAGATTTGATAACGATTAAATTCCAGCAACAAAGAAGTGGTTATGTGATTTCAGAACAAGGCAATGTCCATTAGAATGACAAAGCAACCACCCCTAAAACCCTCACCAATGAACAAATATGACTGGTACAAGCGTGCTACCTTTCCTCCAGCGCCCCCAAGAGCAAGGGCAATAGCCTTTCCAATGCCACGAGAGGCACCTGTGACAATCGACACAGGCGCCTCGACTAGCTTCGGGGATTCCGCCACAGCAGCTGCAGCTTCCGTCGCCGCTACATTCGCCCGGGAAGCGACCCAAAAACCTCTCCTCATGTCAGGGCTCTTCAGCCGAAGCTGAGCGTGGGGCGAACCAACCGAAGCCATGCTGGACATCATCGTCGACACTGGCAAGTGCTGGTGGGGCAATGCCATACACCGCTGCGCTGTCCCGCAAGCCGCCATGGTAGAAGCTGCTGCCCACGTCGAAGCTGCCATCTTTACTTCCAAACCTTTTCTATCAAAAACCTCAAAAACCCAACTCAAATACCTTCACCTGCGATACAAATATCTCATCAAATCCATCGGAAACGGTTCAAACTCCACGACACATGATCCACAAAGAACCCATTCAGAAGCTCACGTCCATGAACAGTCTCCTCGGTACAATTCCAAACTGCGACCACTTCAAAGACATGCAAAAAAACCAAGCCCACACTACCTCAAAAATCCTCGCGAAAAATCTGAGCTACGGCGATGAGATCGCTAACACGGTTCCATGCGAGAATGGCAGTGAGAGGGATGCATGTGGCGAGAGATTCATACCCAAAAATTCCTTTAGATCGATACACCTCAGAGACAAGACTGGGAGGAACAACCGAGGCAGAGGGGTGGTATGAAAATACACAACGCAGACATCTCCCCCTCTCCCATGGACTTTGTTGATGTATATCGTCGATGAAGTGGATTCTGTTTTTCATTCGTTGGGTCGAGACCAGGTGATATTCACGAGTCTGTTGGAACGTCGTTTTCCTAGTTGGTTCGTTTGTTTTGCTTTTTAGCCATTTGGTGCTTTATTGCTTTTAACTTCAAAGAGATTTTCGTGCGGAGGGTGCAGTGTGATAATAAAATATAATTATAATAATAATTATTATTTTTTGATAAAATTCTATTGTATAAATATATGCAAAAATGTCTTTTTGCACATCCATTTTTACTAATTATAAATAATATATATATATATATAAGCAAATAATATATATATATATAAGCAAATAATATATATATATATATATAAGCAAATAATATATATATATATAAGCAAATAATATATATATATATATATATAAGCGAATAATATATATATAAGCAGATATTTAATATTATATACTTAAGCAAATAATTTTTATTCATGATTTTCTCAATGCATGAAATTTCTCATGTGTTTCAAGTCATGATTGCTCTGAGTGAATATTTTAAATATCTTTACTAAATATTTGATAACATTTTTTCGTTGCAAATTATAAAATTTTAATGTATAAACGAAATTATGACTTTTCAATTAAGTTGTTTCTGAATGAAATCACAATTTCTTTTTTAGAAATTGACATTTAAAAGAACCAGTTTTAAATATTTTAAAAATTAAAATCAATAGAAGCCATAAAAAAAGCCATAAAATATAAACAACAAACAGTCTGATACAAAATGAATGCCTATGTATTTAAAAAAAATCAAATTAAATTATTTAAAATTTAAATTATGTAAAATCCATTATTTTTAATTTTCTTAGTTGTCTAAAAATAGTTGTGATCAAGTATAAAAGTGAATATATAACTACTAAATTTTGTAAAACTTTAATGTATGTAAAGCACAATTTCAAACATATAATACTATTACGACACATAAATTCAACTAAAAGTCAAAAAAAATGGCTATAAATATTAATTTAACTATAATGTTATACGAAAATCTTTAGAACTATTCTGTATGATCAATATGACTCCACTTTAAAATTCCCTTGTTGAGAGTGATAGGTTCTAATAATTTCTACTAAAAAATTGAAAAAAATTGAGTAATTTAAATTTTCTTCTCAATTATTATTGAAGTTTTAACTATATATATATATATATATATATATATACATTTAAAAACTTTTATTTTGATAAAATTCTAAAAATAAAATTTCCAAATATTATTCAAAGCTTATCCAAAAATGTTACAAAAACATTTAGACAAGATTTTTATACTAGAAGAAGGAAAATAAAATGAAATAAAATAAATTGACAAGCACTATTTCTAAGTTTTATCACCAAAAGTTATATCACATAAAATAAATTTATTTAAGCAATATTACTAAAGTAATTTTTTTAAATGATTTTTTAAAATATATCAACACATTCAATATAAAAAATTAAATATTCATTTCTAGAAAATATCTTAAATCATAAAAACAATTCATAAACGACAAAATGATTTAAATGTAATACATTGTAATACAAGTCTTAGTTATAAACAAATTAAATGAATTATTATACTACATTTTTTAGATATTTTTATTGACTAACATTAATTTTAAGATATACAGTATATATATAAATATATATATATATATATAATTTATTTATATATTTATTTATAAATAATCATATTTAAAATAATATTATTTTATAGAAGAGCATTTTATTTTAGTTTCAAATTACATTAATTACAAAAAAATAGTATTTTTGTCATAATAGATTTTAAATTTTATCAAATTTGTTGAAGCATGTATTTTTATGACTTTTATTTGATATGACATGTTATACAAGTAAATCTCCAACTTAATTATTATATTGAGTTTCTCAATTCATCACACAGAATTCAATATCTTCACTTAACACAACACAATTTGATAATCTCAATTCTCAAGGTCACAGATTTTCTCCAAAACGGTCAGTCCAAAGTCATATTCCATAATATTCTAATCACAGTTTCAACAATACTTCTCTCAATCACAATTCTTCATAAGTAAATAATAAAAGCAAAGAAAACAAAGAGGTAGTACCAAGCTTATCCCGGCTTATGACTCTCACAATCTGAGCCCGATCTTCCTTCTCTCAACCTCTTTATCCTACCAAAAGATGGACCGTTGGCCAACAGATTCCGAAGGTTATGACCCTTTGAATTCTTAACCATTTATTCTACTAACAACCTACTATTACCAACTAAATTGCTTAATTATAAGTCTAATTTTTAAAGTTATTAATAACCAACTAATAACTTATCACAAAATTTATTTACATATTTTACATAGTCCCACTCCTAATTGTGCAGCATCCTCCCAAACATTATTTAGCCTCAACTTATAAAGACATAGCAGCGTTGGCTTCTTCAATCAATGGTGTTGGCTTACCATCCTTTGAATTGGTGACCTCATCCTCTACTACATCTTCGTCGTCTACCTCGATGTTCGATGGTTCTCCATCCAAACGTCATATAGATCTTCATTCAACAAACCCAATTCTCGTACGTTAGACTCAAGACGACAATTTGGTTGTCGCGATCCTCGAGCATCTTCTGCCATTCTTTTATCAGTTTCAAAGGTATCTTCAAAGGTGTTATCGCTGAAACTGGTGTATCGGTCTGCACTAAATTATTAGCCTCCTTCTCTAATGTGGCTAGTTTAGTCTGCAACATCACAACCTCTACCTACAACTGTTCTTGCCGTTCCTTCTAATCGATCTCTATCCTTGCTTTCTCAGATACCATATTCTCCATCTTCTTCTTTTCCGCCATCCACTTCTCCTTAACCACAAAAGAAAATACGATGCTTCTCAAGAGCCCCCTCCTACTTCTTACTATAGTCCAATCAATTGAGTTGACTCCCCTTTTTGTAATAGAAAACCCGTCTTAGGTTTATGTATAGTAAAGTTTAAGCCAATTGCCATTGATCCGTGTCATAAATTTAGTACCTATAAAGTCTTCCAATTGCACTGAACCATTTGGAAATCCATCAATAACTTGATATAGCCCATGCCATCAAACTTAAAATTTTCTTGGAATTTTTTTAAATCGACTATCATAAAAAAATATCAAATCATTTGGCATAAAAGCCTTTGGTCTAAGCTTGCTATCATAATAAGTCTTCCTTTGTTTTTGTGTAGTTTCCATTATCATTAATGCATTGGCTCTAATTTCATTCAATTTTTCCAATTCTTCTAAACAGTACCGTAATGAATCATAATCTCCCAATCTATTATCTATAGCAATTCTTAAACTTTGGACTTCCAATTCAATAGGTAATATTGCTTCCTGGCCATAAATCAATTGAAAAGGGGTAGCATTGGTAGTAACTTTATATGCAATATGATATGCCCATAAAGTTGCGAACAACTTAATGTCCCAAACTGTTCCCGCTCCTGAAACTATTTTTGTTAAGATTTTACATAAAATTCCATTAGTCTTTTCCGTTTGTCCATTGGCTCTAGGGTAATACGGTGTAGTCTTATGATATTTTATCTCATATTTAGCCTTAAGTGCTTCGATTGTACTATTTATAAAATGATTTCCTTGATCACTAACCAATTCTCGTGGACAACCGAATCGTGTAATAATATTTTCATACAAAAAAGTTGCTAGTGTACTTGCACTATCAATTTTCGTAACAACGGCTTTAGCCCATTTTGTTACATAATCTGTTGCTACCAGTATATGCCGTTTTTGTCCATTTCTTAAGGTTGGTGCAATTGGTCCTACAAAATCAATTCTCCATTTTTCAAAAGGCGCTTGAGCCACAATTCGTACCAATGGCATTGCTGAACTTCTAATAGGTCGATTTGTTCTCTGACATGGGTTACAATGATGGACGAATTGGTGGGCATCTGCAAATATTATTGACGACCAATAACCAACCTGTAAAGCTTCACGAGCCGTGCTGTCCTCCGCAAAATGTCCACTACAACTATCCAAGTGACAACCTTCTAATATAATACTCACTTCAGTCTGATAAATACAACGTTGCAAAACTCCAACTTTGCCTTGTTTATATAAAGCTTTACCAATCAACGTATAAGGTGCACATTTTAATATTAAGCGTTGTTTAAGCTTTTCATTGAAATTAGGTGGGAAGGTTTGAAATATCAAATATTGAATTATTTCACTATACTCCAGAGTAATTACATCTACTACAAACAGTTTTGCATCGAGTAGTGTGTCGTTAATGGGTTTATTACCCAATATAATGGATAACTGAGATAAATGGTCCGCATTGGAATGTGATTTTTCTAGTCTTACCTGAATAGTAAAGTCAAATTCCTACAAGAGTAAAACCCATCGTATAATATGACCACTCAATTGAGGCTTATTAATCATATATTTTAAAGCATCATGGTCGACATAGAAAACAAATTTATAACCAAGAAGATAATTTCAAAACTTTTGTACAGAATAAATCATCTCTAATGTTTTTCTTTTGGTTGTTGTATAATTTCATTCAGCAGCTACCAATTGACAACTTACATAATAAATAGGGTGATCAAATCCCCGGTCATCTTTTTGGCTTAGCACAGAATCAATCGCGACATTAGATGCATCCACATAAACTTGGAATGGTTTTGTCCAACAAGGTGCCACCAATATTGGTGCTGAAATCAATTTCTGTTTCAATGTTTCGAATGCAATTGTACATTCTTTTGTCCAAAATAGACTAGTCCCATCGGTTGGTGGTTTCTTCAAGAGATTTGTCAAGAGAAGGCATATAACTACAAATAGATAGATAAATCGCCAATAATAACTGACATGGCCGACAAATGCTTGAACACATGTAACACTGTCTAGTTGCTTTAATTCTACTATAATCTTTATTTTATCCGGATTTGTAGTAATGCTTGCCATCGAAACTATATCATGCAATAGTTTACTAGAAGGCACATCAAATTGACACTTTTTTGAATTTAAAGAAATTCCATATTTGGCCCAT